GGGGGGTGGCAGAAGTGGAGCGGTTGGTAAGGTGGATGAGTCTGGCCGCTGAGTTCAGGATAGACTGAAGCAGAGATGATAACATTAAAAGAAACAATGTACACAGATGAATGAAGAAGTTTAACCACTTCAGTACCGGACACTTTTACCCCCTTCCTGCTCAGGCCAATTTTCAGATTCAGTGCTGTCACACTTTGAGTGGCAATTACGCAGTCATGCAGCACTACCCAAATGAAATGTTTTATTATTTTTTTTAGACCGCTAGATAAAAGATTTTTTTATTTTTTAAATACTGTCACCAGAGCAGTACAGTGTCACCATAGGGACACTGTACTAATCTGGGAAGTTGAACAGATTTTTTTTTTTTTTTACATTATAATTGCTTATTACAGTGAAGGTCATAATATAAGCAATCATTTTTACACAGCGAGTGGCATCCTTTAATGTGTCATTGTGTACTTTTGTGATGTGATTGGCCTCAGCTACCACATAGTACAGGTCCTCTGTGAATGGCCCTGTATCATGTGATCACTGTGACCAATCACAGACATCACAATGGCTGAACAATTATTATTATTATTATTATACAGTATTTATAAAGCGCCAATGGTTTGCTCAGCACTGTACATTACAAAGGGGGACAGAACATGTGACAGAACAATACCAATACAATGCAAAACATGAGGGGATCGAGGGCCCTGCTCTTTCGAGCTTACAATCTAGGAGGGAGGGGATAGTGGTACAGGAGGAGATAGCTGTGGGGGATGGAGTGGTAGGAAGAGTGAACAATGAATGAAAGCCATTGTTTACAACTGACATGTTATCAATGTGATTAGTCACAGCGATCACATGGTGCCTAGGACAACTCCCGATTGAGCTGGAGGGCGTCATGATGTCCACCTGAGATAACAAAGCACTTGTCCATTGGTATTATTACAATAGGGAGGGTGAGAAGTGGTTAACTGGTGTCATCTCCGGAAACGTTCTGTAACCTTCTGTTAAATGTCGGACAGCCTGCACCCCCTCCTTTATCAAGAACTCAGTGATGGCACATTCCTTTTAATTGGATTCCATTATTTAGTTGCTATGAAAAATAAGAAGAGGAGTTACTATAGAGGAAGAGTTACTCTACCAACATGTGAAATTGGAATAACCTATGGAAGTTAATAAAGATTCTGCCCACTTTTGCATTATTTTCGTATAGTCCTCGTATAATACAACATACAAGTAGGTTTTTCAATTTCCAACTCCAGTTTTGGATAGAGTGGTGAAGGGTTAAAACAGTGGTGGTCAATGTACATGATACAGAGGGCCTCAAGTGCAGCCTGACTTCACTATATGGTGTTTTTTTTTTAAAGAAGTAAATAATGGCCTCCTCCGTGTCTTTATTCATGACGGTTTCCTATAAGCAGAGTTACATTTTGTATGGTTTGTGCTAACAGCTGACCAATTTATTTTACTTGTTGCCTAGAACACTCTTTATAAAGTGTATCAAAAAACCATAAATAGTCTTGAGAGATTAGAACCCCTGCCAGGTTTTATTGTTGTCTGTCTGTTTCCCTGCTAGTTATATTTACATTTTTCTGGTGATATGTTGTCCCTGCTACTGAAAGTGAGAGCGAGTACAAAATTTTTAGTTGCCACCAAAACAGGAATAGATTTTTTTTTTTTTTCAGCGGAGACCCTTTCCTCCTCACTTCCTGTATTATCTTCTGGACAGAAAGTAAGGGAAAATCTCCCCAATAGGACCCAGATGATAAAAATAAAAAACAGTATGGATTTTAACCATTCACTTCTCAGCCCAAAATGAAAAAAAAATGAGCATTAGTAGTACTTTCACATTAATGGAGGGTAAAGATGATGTACTCTCATGTCTTTTAAAATTGTGTTGTAATATAAGGGAAGAGAAATGTAGAAACTGCCATTTATTTTATGCTTTCAGGAGTTTTAACATTTCACTGGCTGAATGCTTGTTCCAGGACAGTCAAGCCGAGTAGAGTAGACAGACAAGCCAAGTAGTGAAACTACAATCCCCAACCACTAGCCAGCCTTGACAGCTTCATTTCTTCTACCTTCCTAAGGGTAAAACAAATGTTGATGCCGAAGCACAATTTTGCAACTTTTCCATGTGTTAGTAAAAACTGTACATATCTTCACAACTGCTTTGTGTATCCAGGTGGATTATACCTTTTTTTCAGAACAAATTGGGCTTTCTTTTGGTGGTAAATGGTAACAAATATTTCCTGTTTTTTTTTTTTCTCTTTAAAATAAATCCTCTTGCTCCTGACGATCACAGCAACACCACATACAGTGCACCTTTAACGTGACCTATAAACTGCAACTCAGTTGAACTACAAACTGAAATCTTTTTTGGGGGGGGAGTAAACATAAAAAACTAAAATAATGTGGTTGCATAAATGTGCACACCCTCTTATAACTGGGGATGTACAGTGGGGATCGAAAGCTTGGGCACCCCAGCTAAAAATTTGTATTAATGTGCATAAAGAAGCCAAGGAAAGATGGAAAAATCTCCAAAAGGCATCAAATTACAGATTAGACATTCTTATAATATGTCAACAAAAGTTTCGATTTTATTTCCATCATTTACACTTTCAAAATAACAGAAAACAAAAAAATGGCGTCTGCAAAAGTTTGGGCACCCTGCAGAATTTATAGCATGCACTGCCCCCTTTGCAAAGCTGAGACCTGCCAGTGTCATGGATTGTTCTCAATCATCGTCTGGGAAGACCAGGTGATGTCAATCTCAAAGGTTTTAAATGCCCAGACTCATCTGACCTTGCCCCAACAATCAGCACCATGGGTTCTTCTAAGCAGTTGTCTAGAAAACTGAAACTGAAAATAGTTGACGCTCACAAAGCTGGAGAAGGCTATAAGAAGATAGCAAAGCGTTTTCAGATGTCAATATCCTCTGTTCGGAATGTAATTAAGAAATGGCAGTCATCAGGAACAGTGGAAGTTAAAGCAAGATCTGGAAGACCAAGAAAAATATCAGACAGAACAGCTCGCAGGATTGTGAGAAAAAAAACAATTCAAAACCCACGTTTGACTGCACAATCCCTCCAGAAAGATCTGGCAGACACTGGAGTTGTGGTACACTATTCCTCTATAAAGAGATACTTGTACAAATATGGTCTTCATGGAAGAGTCATCAGAAGAAAACCTCTTCTACGTCCTCGTGAAGCATGGTGGTGGCAGCATCATGCTTTGGGGCTGATTTTCTTCAGCTGGAACTGGGGCCTTAGTCAAGGTAGAGGGAATTATGAACAGTTCCAAATACCAGTCAATATTGGCACAAAACCTTCAGGCTTCTTCTCAAAAGATGAACATGAAGAGGAACTTCATCTTTCAGCATGACAACGACCCAAAGCAAACATCCAAATCAACAAAGGAATGGCTTCACCAGAAGAAGATTAAAGTTTTGGAATGGCCCAGCCAGAGCCCAGACCTGAATCTGATCGAAAATCTGTGGGGTGATCTGAAGGGGGCTGTGCACAGGAGATGTCCTCGCAGTCTGACAGATTTTGGAGTGTTTTTGCAAGGAAGAGCGGACAAATATTGTCAAGTCAAGATGTACCATGCTGATAGACTCATACCCAAAAAGACTGAGTGCTGGAATCAAATCAAAAGGTGCTTCAACAAAGTATTAGTTTAACGGTGTGCACACTTATGCAACCATATTATTTTTGTTTTTTATTTTTACTTCCCTCCATCTAAAAGATTTCAGTTTGTTGCTCAACTGAGTTGTACAGTTTATAGGTTACATTAAAGGTAAAAAAAAGTTCTGAAATGATTTATCTTTGTCTGATTTTGTTATATCACAGAAACCTGACATTTTAACAGGGGTGTGTAGACTTTTTATTTCCGCTGTATGTGTATATTAGTTTTTTTTTTTTTTTTTTTATACCCGTATTACGGCACAGATCAATGATTTTCTTTTTTCCTGTCTAAAATACACTGACACTAATTCAATTTTTTTTTAATTCTACTGAAATAAAATATGCTGGCCGTGACCCTTGACCCCAACCGTGACCCTAAGCCCCCATCCACATCAAGCCCGACTTTGAAATCGTGCAACTTACAGTGAAGTCGCACAATTTCCAAGTTCCAATATATATATTTGATACAGATGTCTATGCAAATCACACCAAAAGTAGTGCATGTACTACTTTTGAAATCGGTGCGGTTCTTGGTACCAATATGATCACTCCAATTTGGACAATGGGGTACGACTTGGCATGCAATTTTCAAGTCGCAGGGCATACAAATTGCATGCCAAGTTGCACCGATGGGGGCGGGGCTAACACTAACCCTGGCAAACCTTGATATTGTTATTTTTTTCTTTTTAATTTTTTTTTTTTTTTTTTTTTTACTCTTTTTTTTAAAAATGTAGGCTCCATGCACACTAGTGCTTTTTTTTAAGCCCCTAGAAGCTATTATCAGCATTTGTTTTCTGCTCCTAGAAGTTAGTGTGTAACCTATGTGTCCATGCTCACTATTTTAGGCTAGTAGCGCTTTTCAAGCTTCCTGCAGTTAGGGAGCAAAAAAAAAAAATTTTTTGTAGAGTTTTTGAGAGTGTTTTCCTGGCAGAAAAATTGCTGATGGCTTCAAAATCCTAACAGCTCTTTTTCTTCTGCATGTACCGTAAAAACACTAATAAAACGCTACTAGAAAACTACTACAAGGCAGCACAGAAAGGTTATTATCACCATTTTTCATCCAGTTTTTATTTCTAGAATTGTTTGAGCTTCTATAAAACGTTGGTGTGCATGGAGAGGTAACACTGCATCGTCATCTTCTGCAAGAAGAGGGAGACACAATGTATCTTTCTCTCCATTCAGAAGAGAAACACAAGGGGGGGGGGCACACAGTGATCGCTGTGAAAGCCAATCAGAGGCTCAAATCCTCACTACCTCTGTGACCAAGCCCAGATGGATGGGCTGAAACACATCAGAAGGTGTGGCCAGTAGAGCAGCTGAGGCTATTCCTCAACATTGGAATCCTGGGGTCAGTTGAGCATCGTCCATCCCTGCACAGCCAATCAGAGGCTATCACAGCGATCAGGTGACCTGGAATCGGGAGTCCCGGAGATGTTGGTGAAAGCCCAATCTCTGTGATAGCAGCATGCTCCTAGCCAGGGGCGGACTGACAACTCATGGGGCCCCCGGGCAATAGGGGATCATGGGGCCCCTGTGCCCTTGCCCAAACCCAAGAAAGCCTATGAAAAAGGTACAAGGGGCATCTCATGGGGCCCCCTACTGACCCCGGGCCCTCGGGCAGTGCCTGAGTTTCCAAATGGTCAGTCCGCCCCGGCTCGTAGCACAAAGGGAGATGTGCATATATGTGTATGGTCAGCAGGAAGGGGTTAAAATATATGTCAAAACTTTTTTTCCTTAGTTGTGGATAGAGTGGAGAAGGATTAGAACACTTATTTGATTTTTATTTCTGCCCCTGCTCCCATTAGGGAGAGTCGCTGTCCCTATTTTTCCTTTCACCGTGTGTGAAAGTGAAAGAAAATCCTAAATTTTGGATTGCCAGTGATAATTCTGGGGAGTATTATCGTATTAGAGGACAGCAGCTGAGGTCTAGTACAAGATTTATTATGAATTTAGTCAGTTCCCCCTTTATCCCATTTGAGAGCGTTTAAAAGGAATGTGTTAAAGTGGCATTAAACCCCCCAAAAAATAAATAATATTGTAGCCTACCAATCCATAAATGCTGTGGCTGCTTTAGTTTTCTTTCTTTGTTTTTTTTCCCAGAGGATTTACACTAAAAGATGCTGAAAAACGTAAGTTTTTAACGTGACTTTACACCACTATCGCTACCACCGTTATTAAAACTCCCAGTGTGCGTGAAGCCATACAGTGAATTTACAGAGGTACTAAATGCTGGCAAATACCCCCAACTTCCAGCAGTGCAATGGTTACATCCCTAGCACTAGCAGCACAAAGGAGTGGTGAAATGCATTGTAATGACCCTGCGCATTTTTTTTTTATAACTTTATTGAAATGTCACAAAATGGCATTTCATTCATCCTTATGCACTGCAGTGTGTCACAAGATGCTGCCCTAATAAAAAAAATGACAGCATGCCCTACCTTTTTTTCAACGCATATTGGTTTGAAGTAAAGTAATTTTTTTTTTTTTTTTAATTAAGGACATAAATTGCAAAGAAAAGGGAAGTGTAAGACTCACAAAAAAGTACCCTTTCATTCAAAACAAAAACCAAAAGATTACAAGAAAAGAAGCAAAATGGCCAGACCAAGAATTCAAAATTATATTTATAAAAGTAACAAAGTAAAGCTTAAAAAAAAGTATTGTAATAGAAGAGGACAGCAGCTGAGGTCTAGTACAGAATTTATTATGAATTTAGTCAGTTCCCCCTTTTTCCCATGTGGGAGAGTTTAAAAGGAATGAATTAAAGTGGTATTAAGCCCCAAAAAACAAAAAAATAAATAATACTGTAGCCTACCAATCCTTAAATACTGTGGCTGCTTTAGTTTTTTTATAGTGTTTTTTTTCCTTTGACCACTTGCCCTCCAGAGGATTTACCCCCCCACCTTCCGGGCCGGGGCATTTTTTTGCGATACGGCGCTGCATTACTTTAACTGACAATTGCGCGGTCATGTAATGCTGTGCCCAAATGAAATTTACGTCCTTTTTTTCCCACCAATGGAGCTTTCTTTTGGTGGTATATGATCGCCTCTGTGTTTTTTAATTTTTCACCCAGTGATCCGGTTAGTAATGCACTTTTTTGTCTTTGGTTGTCTCCACTCTGGATTGAGGAGCAACAGAGACACCTTTGGGCAAAGGCATTGTAAATCTGGGGGGGGGGGGGGGGGGGGGGGGGTAGTGCACCAGCAGATTTGACTAAGAAGTTGCAGCAACAGTTTTGCTTCAATTCTTACACGACATGGCCTAATAGGTCGGCTGGGCATTTGTTGCTTCTATTTTTTATTCTTTTTTCACTTATATATGCACATTGGATTTTTTAATCACACATTAATGAAATATTGTTTATATTTTTTATTTATGTATGCATTGGTATCAGGCTGATTTAGATATGTGGTAGATGGTCAGCCGAATATTTACTTCTCATTTTCACTGACCTTTTTTCATTTTTTTATGTTGTTTTGCATCTATTGCATCTACAGGTGAAACTCGAAAAATTAAAATATCGTACAAAAGTTCATTTATTTCAGTAATGCAACTTAAAAGGTGAAACTAATATATGAGATAGACTCATTACATGCAAAGCAAGATAGTTCAAGCCGTGATTTGTCATCATTGTGATGATTATGACTTACAGCTCATGAAAACCCCAAATCCACAATCTCAGAAAATGAGAATATTGTGAAAAGGTGCAATATTCTCAGCTCAATGTGTCCCACTCTAATCAGCTAATTAAGCCATAACACCTGCAAAGGGTTCCTGAGCCTTTAAATGGTCTCTCAGTGTGGTTCAGTAGGAATCACAATCATGGGAAAGACTGCTGACCTGACAGTTGTGCAGAAAACCATCATTGACACCCTCCATAAGGAGGGGAAAGCCTCAAAAGGTAATTGCAAAAGAATTTGGATGTTCCCAAAGTACTGTATCAAAGCACATTAATAGAAATTTATGTGGAAGGGAAAAATGTGGAAGAAAAAGGTGCACAAGCAGCAGAGATGACCGCAGCCTGGAGAGGATTGTCAAGAAAAGGCCATTTGAAAGTGTTGGGGACTTTCACAAGGAGTGGACTGAGGCTGGAGTCAGTGCATCAAGAGCCACCACACACAGATGGATCCTGGACATTGGCTTCAAATGTCGTATTCCTCTTGTCAAGCCGCTCCTGAACAACAAACAACATCAGAAGGGTCTTACCTGGGCTAAAGAAAAACAGACCTGATCTGTTGCTCAGTGGTCCAAAGTCCTCTTTTCTGATGAGAGCAACTTTTGCATCTCATTTGGAAACCAAGGACCCAGAGTATGGAGGAAGAATGGAGAGGCACACACTGCAAGATGCTTGAAGTCCAGTGTGAAGTTTCCACAGTCTGTGGTGATTTGGGGAGCCTTGTCATCTGCTGGTGTTGGTCCACTGTGCTTCATTAAGTCCATGGGTCAACGCAGCCGTCTACCAGGAGATTTTGGAGCACTTCATGCTTCCTTCCATAGACAAGCTTTATGGGGATGCTGACTTCATTTTCCAGCAGGACTTGGCACCTGCCCACACTGCCAAAAGCACCAAAACCTGGTTCAATGACTGTGGGATTACTGTGCTTGATTGGCCAGCAAACTCGCCTGACCTGAACCCCATAGAACCCCATGAAAACCCCAAATCCACAATCTCAGAAAATGAGAATATTACATGCAATCAATAAAACAAGGATTGTACATAGAACAATATCGGACCTCTGAAAAGTAGAAGCATGCATATGTACTCAGTACTTGATTTGGGCCCCTTTTGCAGCAATTACTGCCTGAATGCGGCGTGGCATGGAAGCTATCAGCCTGGCACTGCTGAGGTGTTATGGAAGACCAGGATCCTTCAATAGCGGCCTTCAGCTCTTCTGCATTGTTCGGTCTCATGTCTCTCATCTTTCTCTTGGCAATGCCCCATAGATTCTCTATGGGGTTCAGGTCAGGCGAGTTTGCTGGCCAATCAAGCACAGTAATCCCATGGTCATTAAACCAGGTTTTGATGCTTTTGGCAGTGTGGGCAGGTGCCAAGTCCTGCTGGAAAATGAAGTCAGCATCCCCATAAAGCTTGTCTATGGAAGGAAGCATGAAGTGCTCCAAAATCTCCTGGTAGACGGCTGCGTTGACCCATGGACTTAATGAAGCACAGTGGACCAACACCAGCAGATGACATGGCTCCCCAAATCACCACAGACTGTGGAAACTTCACACTGGACTTCAAGCATCTTGCAGTGTGTGCCTCTCCATTCTTCCTCCATACTCTGGGTCCTTGGTTTCCAAATGAGATGCAAAAGTTGCTCTCATCAGAAAAGAGGACTTTGGACCACTGAGCAACAGACCAGGTCTGTTTTTCTTCAGCCCAGGTAAGACGCTGCTGACATTGTTTGTTGTTCAGGAGCGGCTTGACAAGAGAAATACGACATTTGAAGCCCATGTCCAGGATCCGTCTGTGTGTGGTGGCTCTTGATGCACTGACTCCAGCCTCAGTCCACTCCTTGTGAAAATCCCCAACACTTTTGAATGGCGTTTTCCTGACAATCCTCTCCAGGCTGCGGTCATCTCTGCTGCTTGTGCACCTTTTTCTTCCACACTTTTCTCTTCCACATAACTTTCTATTAATGTGCTTTGATACAGCACTTTGGGAACATCAAACTTCTTTTGCAATTACCTTTTGAGGCTTTCCCTCCTTATGGAGGGTGTCAATGATGGTTTTCTGCACAACTGTCAGGTCAGCAGTCTTTCCCATGATTGTGATTCCTACTGAACCAGACTGAGAGACCATTTAAAGGCTCAGGAACCCTTTGCAGGTGTTATGGCTTAATTAGCTGATTAGAGTGGGACACTTTGAGCCGAGAATATTGCACCTTTTCACAATAGTCTCATTTTCTGAGATTGTGGATTTGGGGTTTTCATGAGCTGTAAGCCATAATCATCACAATGATGACAAATCACGGCTTGAACTATCTTGCTTTGCATGTAATGAGTCTATCTCATATATTAGTTTCACCTTTTAAGTTGCATTACTGAAATGAATGAACTTTTGCACGATATTCTAATTTTTCAAGTTTCACCTGTAGTATAAGTGTGTGTTTAGAATTTTGTTTAGAAGCGCAAACTATTTTATATATTGGTAAATGGTTTGTTTCAACCCTCAACCTGCCACTTTTGCTGGACTGCTTGGTATGCGAAAGGAATTTGAAAAATAACAGACAGGTGGATAGATCACCAGGGGAAAATAAAGAAAAAAAGCCTAAAAAAGGTAAATCAAAGCAGCCACCACATCTAAGAACTGGTAGATTGTGATATATATATATATATATATATACAGTGGGGATCGAAAGTTTGGGCACCCCAGCTAAAAATTTGTATTAATGTGCATAAAGAAGCCAAGGAAAGATGGAAAAATCTCCAAAAGGCATCAAATTACAGATTAGACATTCTTATAATATGTCAACAAAAGTTAGATTTTATTTCCATCATTTACACTTTCAAAATAACAGAAAACAAAAAAATGGCGTCTGCAAAAGTTTGGGCACCCTGCAGAGTTAATATCTTGTACTGCCCCCTTTGGCAAGTATCACAGCTTGTAAACGCTTTTTGTAGCCAGCCAAGAGTCTTTCAATTCTTGTTTGAGGTATCTTTGCCCA